TGTTTCTTTTAGGTTAACCCTATTTATGCTGGCTGACTGTTGTCTGTTGTTGTTGCTGTTGGCCAGGAATCTTCATCACCTCTGTTTTATCTATGTTCACCTCAAGTCCTATATTCTCTGGGTGCTTCTTGTGCCTATTTGTTGCTCTTCACTTGCATATCTCCCAATTTGTTGGAAATCAGACATATATCATCGGCGAAGTTCAGATCCTCCAAGTTTTTCGTGTTGGTCCATTTTATGCCTGTCTCCTCGTTGCCCGCCAACTGACTGTCGCATTATTCAGTCTACAGCAATCAAGAAACTCATTAGAGATAGAAGTCAGCCGGCCCGCTTGTCTTACTGCAGCCTTCACTTCTTAGAAGGATTCCGTGAGTCCCCCGTTGTGGATTACTTACCATGCGACATTATCGTACAAATGTTTGATGAGACGTATAATTGTTGGCATCACCCCGTAGTAGCTAATTGGTTTTCAACCTGATTTAGAGCTAAGGTTCAATTTACTTCATAAAATTTTCAACCTCTTATTTGTTTTTTGTTTCTTTTCCTCCTTTCTTACCCACACTTTTGCGTCATTTCCCTACCCATGATTTGTGACCTTCACCTGTACACAATCTAACTTGCTTTCTATATAACTGTGTATGCGAAGTACATGTGTAATCAGAATATCTGAAATGCGTTGAAGTAAATACATCACACTTTTTAGATAAACTACGTCTTCTTATTGTGTTGTCGAAATTCATAAAGGGAGCTAATTGCGTTAGCAAAATGAATATCTGGTTTTTTAAAAATCCCCTGGAGACTGAAAATTTTGTAAGACAAATAAAGTTTTTTCAGTGGTTCTGTCGACGATATCGGTTTTGAAGATATGCTGTCAAATAAATCATTCAACAAAATTCACAAACAACTTAAAAGAGAATAAATTGTGGTAATTCGAATACTTAAGTGGAACATTACAGTACTCAACTAGACAATAAAATCTTTGCCTGTTTGACTGAACTATGTCGCTTTTCATTCCCAGTGGAACATAGGGCTAGAAGATTTCGCTTGAAACGCTAGGAAGAGTGGTGTTTGTTTTTTTAACAGGGAAGGGTTACTAGCCACACGCCTAACCTTCCCTCTTTATCGAGCTTACTACCCACCGGAGATCAAACTATGGACCACATAGAGCATGATAGGCAAGAGTTCTACGTCTGAACTATTGATTCACACGTAAGAAGGTCTAGATTGCTTGACTGGAGTCCTCCAGATATGAAGAACTAATAGATGGATGCTTTGGGTGATACGGTTTAAAACCGTTCTCATTAGCATTCCTTGTAATCTCGAAGGTACACTAAATCCTGATGTATTTTATGTCATTATCCTTTCTCCAATACATTTTCGCTCTTTTCCTTCCTTTTTCTATTCCCCACCAACGTTTACTATACGGATTATGACAACTTGAACTGCTTCCCATCTGTGCAAAGTTCTTTGTTAAAATTCACTCAGTCAGTTAGTCCGATGGTGCGTTGGACAAGCATTTAACTCAAATTATTACCGAAATCTTTTGTGCATATATAACTCAAACAAAATTTTTCACAAATAGTAACATTTTACAAAGCACAGTTTATGACTACTATCAGTAGGATGGTGGATAAAAACCAACAGTCAACACGTTTATACAGCTGACAAACACAATTAGTCATTTATTATTATCATTAGTACTTGACATTAGATCAATTTAAACAAGTACTACTCGTTTTCCGGAAGTGAGTAATTACATCAACATCCATCCATCCATCCATCAATATTCTATGGTATGATAAGTTTCAAAAAACTTCTCGTTTTCGTCAGATTTCCGCTACATAATTGACAGTCTATTGAAAATGAGTGAAACATGATTCGTTTCAAAATCTGTATGGACTGATGTATAAATTTACGCCAAGAGTATCTTGGATTTTCTATATTTTAAAGGATTTAAGTGAAGTTTGTTATTTCTATGATTGTGAATCCATACTCCAGAAGTCACTGTTTAAGAAAACACTTTATTGTAAATTTATTCAGTAAATTTTATAAGGACTTTAGGATTTAAACACAGTGATTTATCTTGTGGTCTGTTTCGTAATCTATCAATATCACTTAGAGAACTCATTGTGTAGCTGTTCTTTCCCCTCTCCCCAATAAGGCTTTCACAAGTTATCATTGACTACTTCATTTCTAATTGCTTATTGCGTAATCCATTTGAACATTCATCTGTGTCTTAATTACTGCTTATTTTTTTTTCAAAATTACGCATTATGTAATCCACAATTACTTCAACGTCTTTAATTGTTTTACCACTTTCCTAGGTTGATTATCACCTCATTGATATTTTAATATCCACTATGTATTGTTAATGGCGTCGGTGTCACAGTGGTAGAATGCTCGCTAACCACGCATGTGCCTTGAAGGTCGATCCACAGTCAACGCACTCCTAAGCCAGTTATAAGACTGGTAAAGAGGGAACAGTGAGCATGAGGCTAGCAACCCCATCCCGTAAAGAATAAACATCAATGCTACGGAAACTTCAAAGCCCTAGCTTGAAGCGTAAAGGAGTAAACGGTATTTAAAAAAAAGTATTGTTGATATATTTACCACTACTAGGGCAAAGTTACACTATCATACGCAAACCCACGATAACTTTGAAGAACCAATCAGAATTCAGATGCAAAAAAGTCACATAATAGTTGACAAATGCACTAAAACATTGCAAACAGGATATTCCACTATATAGTTTTCGATTGCGTATTCCAAGTATGTCTACAACTGGCTACACAGATAATCAATAAAGAAATCATACCATGCGTGATAGATGCATTCATCCAAGTGACTGTATTTCTGACACTGTTCTTTAACCTACTCCTAATCTCAACTTAAACCCTTGTCCTAACCCTAACCCTAGACCCTAAGCCTTAATCTAAAAAGCCATAACTCTCCTTAGCAGTATAGATTTACATGAAATGTACCTAGAGAATAAGTACAGTACTTCATCTACCTTCTCCAAATCTAAAAAAGCAGGCATGAATTCGCAGCATTCCCTGTATCTGTAGCTCTTAAAGGTCAACTTATATATATATATATATATATAACATATATATAGGTTTGAACGGGTCCGTAGATGAAGATCTAAGTAAAAAATAAATATTTCTCCGCCCAACCATTTTGTCTTCAGAATATTCCTTCCTTTTTTTGGACTGTTCAGTACTGCACCGTAATCATCCGACTAGAAATCAAACCCAACACTTTTAAGTTTGATCAAGGATCGATACCAGTCAGTAGAGAACTTAAGACTGGGGAGTAGTGGATAGCTGTTTCGTCCTAGGTTTGAAACTCATCCCCCATCTTTCGAACCAAAGAACTTTCAGCTACTAAGCGGAGATGGCAGACCATTCAGCCACTGAAATCCGCCTCAATGGTCCATGAGTTCCACCTTCTACTAATTCATGATTTTAGCACAACAACTAACTAATGCTACTGACGAGAGTTTCGCCTCACGTCAGTCGGAATGGATCCAACTAGTCACGATTTATCATTAGAACTTCAGGTAGTTTCATTGTGTACCCAGTCACTGGCGAACATCAGAATAATTTTTTAGGATACAGTATGAAGATTTTAGAATCTAAATGACCACTAGTGGCTGCCTTCGAAATAAATATCCTGATATTTTAAAGGAAATGTTTTCAGTCTTAATTAAATTAACATTAAGAAGTAGGGAAAACTGCAGAGGATAAAACATATATATTTATCTTGTTTATAATATTCTTTTGTTTTTCAGACTCTCAGTATTAATCAATCTTGTCATATTTTGTTCCTTTGTTTCTCTAAATCTTTAAAACCAAAAGTGACTTTAAAACATGTGTACTAACATTTGAAAACAAAACTGATTAACAAACAAACTATCAGTGAAACTTCTTTCTACTTGTATTGCCGATTATTCACTTAAAATGGAGCGCTTCAATTCCTATGACTTCAATTCACTAATTAAGATGACATTAGTTAGTTTAAACCTGAAATATAAATTAGAGAAGGCAAGTATTATTCATTTCCCCTACTTAAGAAGTATAGGGTTAACAGAGAGGGTTTAGCAATTAAATTACATAATTAAATGAAAAAAGAATAATAGTTTAATAAAACAAATATACAAAATTCATACTGACATTGTATACTTACTTAAATGCAGGTCCACGAGGATCAATTTGATCAATTAGAGGGAAACTGGTTAATTCTGAAGAGAACTGATTTGGTATTGAAGATATCAATGTGAATCCATAGCCTATGTAGTCATAGGGTTCAAGAAGTACTTCAACTTCTTCACATCGACATGCTGCAGTTGGTGTAGTACTACCTGGTGTTACTACTGATGATCTCAATGAACGATAAGATTTTAAACAGTCTGTTGAATAAATATAAAGAAAAAATTGGTAAATACTAATAATGCAAGCTTAACATGTATATGTATATATTCATTGATTGGCTTTCTGAGTGGAGCACACAGCTTCAAGCCTAAAGCTTTGAAGTTTCAGTAGCGTTGTTGTTGTTGTCGCCCTCAAGACTATCCTCCTTCTCTCTTTACAGGACTCTCTTACTCCTGACTAGTCGAGGTTCAGGTGTGTGCTGGTAGGGAATCGACTACATGCTTGAGTGGTAAACATTCTCCACCTGAACCAATGACACATCAGTGGCACAGGTTAGTTCAAAAATCTCGTCGTGTGCATGTCTGGCACAAAATTTTGTTGGTACTTAAATTGTGGAGAAAAAGCAATCATAATGAACATTACTCAGGCATCTGATGAATTAGATAGTAAATTCACTTAGTCTGCTATTTCTTCTTTTGTTTTTTATTGTTGTATTCAAGAATAAAAAGCCGTTGTTTAAGTTACAGTGTGCATTAGCTTTATGGATAAATAACAGAGTTTACCCAAGAAGAAATATATCCGTCAGCAGACTACTTTTTCATTAATGTGACCAAGAATTTCACAGGTTATTAATTTATATTATAATCTATCACAAGGTATTTCATACTACACTTATCCCACAATACCACCTGACCCTTACCAAAAGGTGAAAGGCATATCAAATCGATAGCTTTATTGTTTCCTGATAAAAATAAAAGGAATTCATGTCAAATTTTAAGAAAAACCCAATTAAAGATATAGGTATTGAGTTATCATCACTAATCGAATCATACTAAACTGATCGACTGAACATTGTAGTTTATACAATGTATGCATAGGCATTCAACACTATTCTTTGCATTGATTGGTTTCAGTAATAAGATTTCTATATACTTCAGCCATTACTGGAGAAGGTGTAGAAAGAGGGCAAAGTACCTGAGGATTGAAAGAAAGGATACTTACTCAAAGTACCAAAGAAAGGAGACTTAAGTCAATGCAAAGCTGGCGCAGAATTATGCTCCTGTCCATCCCAAGCAAAATACTAAGCCACATCATCCTGGAGAGAATCAAACAAGCCCTAGATGAAAAACTTCAACCGGAACAAGCTAGATTCAGGAGAAACAAGTCATAATTTGATCAAATCGCCACACTACGGTTCATCATTGAACAAAGCTTAGAATGGCAGTCACCTCTCCACCTCACTCAACTTCATCGACTTTGAAAAGGCCTTCGACAGCGTCGATCGAGAGGTCATTTGTAAACTACTTCGTTACTACGGGGTCCCATCGACAACTATACATCTCATCCAACAGTTATACAACAACGCTGCATGCCAAGTAATCCACAACGAGAAACTTACGGAAGCCTTCAAAGTGGGGACGGGAGTGAGGCAAGGCTGTCTACTATCTCCAATGGTTTTCCTGATTGCAGTAGATTGGATAATGCAACAGACAGTTAGCGGGCAACGAGGAGACAGGCATAAAATGGACCAACATGAAAAACTTGGAGGATCTGAACTTCGCCGATGATATATGTCTGATTTCCCACAAATTGGGAGATATGCAAGTGAAAAGCAACAAATAGGCACAAGAAGCACCCAGAGAATATAGGACTTCAGGTGAACATAGATAAAACAGAGGTGATGAAGATTCCTGGCCAACAGCAACAACAACAGACACCAATCAGCATAAATGGGAGAAACCTGAAAGAAACAATCTCGTTTAACTACCGACATGGGAAGCATCGTTTCAACTACAGGCGGAACTGATCAGGACATCAAAGCCAGAATCAGAAAAGCAGGACAAGCTTTCATCACTCACGTTAAGTCTGTGTGGAAGTCAACAGCACTCAGCATCAAAAATAAGATCCGGATTTTCAACTCCAATGTGAAGTCATTGCTACTTTACAGATCAAAGACTTTGCGCATCTCAAACAAACTTCAGACTTTCATTAACGTTTGTCTTCGCTCAATACTCATGATTAGATGGCTGCCCAGAAAAGATCAGCAACATGGATGGATCTCTGGCAATGAGCGAACCAACCATGAACCGATTGTGAAACAAATAGGCAGGAAGAAACGGAGATGGATTCGCGATACTCTGAGGAAACCATCAAGTGACATCACTAGACAGGCCATCGCTCGAGTGCAACCCAAAAAGAAAGCGGCGAATTGGTCGTCAGTGCAAGGGTGACTTGGAAGCGGTCATGTGAAGAGGAGATGAAAGCATGTGGGCAGACTTGGAGTGGGGTGAAAAAGTTGGCAGAATACCGAAGGCAATGGAGACACATGGCTGAAGCCGTATGTTCCTCTAGGAATTAAAGGATATAATAATAATAATACTTCAGACTCTATATAAACTTTCAGAATGAATAGTAATGAATACTATTCACCTCAGTAAACCCATAGATAAAATACATCATTTACAAATAGAAGAGTCAATAGCTAATACACACATTTTTTTTCTCCTTGATATTGTTCTGAATAGCAATCTATGGCCATTTCATTTGGAATTCACGCCTAACCTAATCCAATCATCAAATTGATTATTTGTTTAATACTACAATAATAATAAGCAAAGATATTTTGTGAAAAGGGTTCAAAAATGCCATTTTAGCGATTGACTTATTTATGTCAGGTAACAAATCATCTATGCATACCAGAGAAACAAACAAATAACAATTATTATTACTCGCTAAAGTGAAAAAAACTAGTTTAATGCAAAAAACCTTCTTTTACTGTGTTATTTTCACGTGAAACCATATGCTGCAAAATGGACAACATACTAAAGTATTTGGCTCAGTTGTGTTCTCTAAGCTGAGTGGTTTAACTGCGAAGATATTATTGTCTATCTAGACCACATCTTCAGCGCTGACTTCAATGCAAAGTGAACTTTAAGAATGATCTTATTTATTTAAACGGAGAAAGAAATCTTGGTACAATATGGCACCAAGAAGGATTCACCACACAATAATAATAATAAAACAACATCGATCAAAAGTAAAAATATATAAGTAGAGAACGGATAAAGAACTTCATCTGGAAGGAAAACGGTCATACTTAACAAGTTCAAACAGTATTCGTTAGCTATCATAGGGAAGCGAAGAAAGAAGGGAACTGCAACACGCTCACCATTGATTACGATTCTTGGCCATATCTGATGACGCTTCGAGCTATCTCTTAGACTCCAACCAGGGAGTCGTGACGCACCAACCGATGCTAATCTAACACAAACATTCTTCATCCCACGACGTCACGTCATGGACTGACCACTTCTCCGCCTTTTCCATCCCGTCCCAGGGCTAGCGAACAGAGACCTGTACGGAAGCCTCTAGGATGACATTCGCAGTACTTGTCCAAGCCACCAGAGTCGGTGTTTCCAGGTGACGATACTCAATGAACGGTGATTTCCACTGTGTTCAAACACACGCCACCGAACCTCAGAATTACTCATACGATGATGCCATCGAACGCAAGCAATCCTGAAGAGACAGCGATGATCGAACGCGCAGAGTCGCCGCCACACATCCTCAGCCTACTCGGAGAGGCCAGGTTTCACAGGCGTGGCGTAGAGCAAGGCAGCCCGCACCGAAGCATTGTATACCCGACCTTTGAAAGCTAGGCTAACGTCGCCACGGTGGCTGAAGTTGATGTATGCTACCGTAGCCTTCATTATACGGTTGGAAATCTTACCCGTCACCCCTCCACCAGCACTCACACAACTACCCAGATATAAAAACTTATCAGCAACTTTAAGCGGTTCACCCTCAAGAGTGAGTGCAAGTACGGGCTTCTGCCAATCTTGTAAAAGTACTTTGCATTTAGACGGTGCAAAGTACATACCACACTTACAGACACTGATCTAATAGCGAAATACCCATCTCTTCTTATAATCCTGACTGTGATTGGTCGTCTCTAAGGATTTTCTTGATTCCATATTTTTTTTTATTGATAATGATCACTTCTATTACCCGACAGTTAATCTTTCGATTTTGTACCTTACCGTTGATTGATTGATCAATTTGGTCAATGTCTACGTGTCCGTATAATGCAAATTGACCTAAGTACCAAGCGTCTGGAAATTCTTGAGCATTCCTACTCTCCCTTCTTTCTAGGTTTTTGAACTTTACTCAGTTGAACTGATATTAATAATTGTACACGTGAATTAATTTGATGAGGGGGGCAGGAAATGAAGAACTCAACATAGGAGATAATCTTTATTAACTGTTTACACTGCCAGTTTAAACCATGATGGCTTACATAAGACATAAGGGTTATAGGTTGGCAAGTGGATCTTGATATAAAGTTTAAGTTATAATGACAGGAAGAACCTTTTCCATATTACTGATTTAAGTAACACTTTTCTGGTTGAACTAGAGTATATGGGGCGTGACCAGAGAAATGATTCCAAACACCGAATGTACAAACAATTCTCTGTAGCTAAGCGAAAAATTAATTACTCCTGAAGACTAGTTCTTCTCAAATAATACTGTTTATTCCCTTATTAAAGCATATTCCAGAAGAATAAGGGAATTTAAATTCATAACAATTTAGAATAGTAACAATATTTACATTGATGCATTACCTGAATTACTTTGCATTGGTTTCTCTGAATTAACAATAGCATTTGGTACAATTTGTAGGCGTATAACGTTTAGACCGTTATTTTTTAGTCGATACATTGCTTCTTGTAATTTCATATTCTCTACACAAATATCATCTATGGATTCAACGCGATCCCCTTCAAATAAAGCTCCACATCTGGAATAAAAAAACGAAATGAAATCTACATAATGTCTGAATGAATAAGAATGTCAGGTCTATTGTGAATAAGATTTACTAATGCAGACTGCCGTTTAACCACGCAGGCTGTCCTCATAGTATACCGGGCTGACGAACCCCTAAACCCCGTCTAGTTTATTAGACAACAGTAACTGCAGACAGGAAAGAAGGTTGGTCATGAGGCTACCAAGTCAGACCTGTAAAAACAATACCACAGTTAATAAAACTTCCCAGCATGAAGTCATATTTTCCGTTCGGGACTCAAAGCAACTAAAAAATACTGAGACAAACTTAACTGGTCAGTAGGATATAAACTACAAACGTCTAAATGATTTTCTGTTTCCTGAACTAAATAATAAGAGAACGAATTTCAAATATCATCAAAAAACTAGAAATCTGAGTAGTTAATTATACTTAGTAGGCATTTTTCATGGTGTAATGTGTATTGAAGAAAGGCTATAGATTATTTCAATGTAGATCTCGTCATGTAACTACATCACCGAAAACTGGGAAGCACTGGACAACTGTTTCGTACTGGGCTGCAACTCTTCATCAGTACACACCCACAACTCAACCAAGAAACGACCGCGGGACCTGCAGATTATAAGATGAGGCTCTTTGGCCATTAAGACACTTAGGCTTGCATTCATAACCCATGAAGTTTAACTATTTCAGTTTGTGATGTAGCGCCACCGCCAACCAGTGACACTATAACATCTTGACGTGGTGGTGCCCACCAACCGTGATTTCACCCAACAACTTCGGTTAGAATTCACGGGTCACTGAATCCTTACACAGGTGGCCGGATGGTCAGAGAGCTTGGCATTATAACCTAGAGTCCTTGGTTCGATTCCTGCTAGAATCGAGGATGAGCACTGTTGAAGAGCTGCAAAGTAAAAAGAAACAAGGTTCTGGTGCTCCCTGGTTATCAATGATGTCTCATATAATGATGATCCGTAACGAAAGCTACACTAAAATTAATGGAATTCCTTTCAAAACTCATAATCCTAAAGCAGTAGTGTTCAATAAGTGCATAGGTGTGATAGTGAAATTGTATCATAAAATAAGGTCAAAATCCCATCATGTCAGAAATTAAACAAATTCTTCTGCATCCTTCCACTTTGTATAATACAAAATTAGTCAATTAATAAACAGTTAGAACTGCGAAAACTTTCTTATGATAATTCTAAGCGTCAAACATGTGGCGCTCATTAATTTCGATGGAAAATTTAGTTTTCTAAAGGTGACAAGTAAAAACCAAATGAAGTGTTTGCAACTGCACCGAAGTAATGTTTTAGTAAAAGCATACTCTAAAATAAGATTTAAATATAAACTTTATTATAAAGTAAAGTCGAGTGATTTATCTTCATCTTGTTGTTGTTAGTAGTTGCATTGTCACCCAACCCTTTGCCCATTGAGTTACTTGTATAAAAAGCAGAGTGGAATTGCTGGATTTCGTGCCTGCTGGGACTCGTTAAGAAGGCACATCTACAATATCAAAGAAATTGTTGTCCCCTCTGAGAACTTAGTCTGGGCTGTGCAATACTGCAGTCAAAAATCTTGTCAGTGAGCTATGCAGGATCACGATTGACTTCATTTAGGACTATAGTGATGAATACAGATAGTGACAACTGCAAAGACACCAATGTCATGTGTCTTTGTTGAATGAATGACGTTAGTCCAGTTTCAGACACGGTCTCATAAACTAGGTGATAGGCTAGAGTAGTGTACTTAAAGGTAGTATTGGTTGGTCAAAAATCGACACAAAATGAATCGATACTAAGATGATGGTCTCTAGGCAATCAGTGAGTCACTAGTTAGAAGAAAATTCCTTGTAAATTTTACTTTCTCATCCAGGTGTGATAATGGTTAGTTTACATTAGTTTCACTCCAGCATATAATGTCAAATATACTGTAGATTTGTACAAGTTTATTTCTCTAAGAAGTTCAGATATTATTGAAATATGATTCTGGTTACACTCCACCTTTGAGTTTTTGACGGGTTGTCTTACTAACAGACTAGGCTATTATGACATCATTCACTTTTGAAAATTCAAACTTTCAAAAACACTGGCTCTATTTCCTTACAATCTTATTAACTATGCTTTCCAAAGGTAAATAGATGACGTGCTTTCTTTCTGAAGTTTCCGAAGCTTTTTATGTTGTATCCTAATTGAATTTACCAAGATACTTTCCATGAGGCGAATTACACAATGAAATGGTAGTTAAGTGAAGTTATTTCAGATAAGTTACCTTGAATCTGTAAGCTTCAAGTAATTCAAAAAAGACTAAACGAATATGTACATGTTTGACTGACTGGTTACGGAATTTCATCATGAACTGAAATCGTTTGCAGAATCAACACGGAGTACTGGACAGCTGTTTCCTCAGCCTAGTTTAGGACTCTTCATCACTACACACCAACCGCAGGGATTTGAACCTACGACCTTCTGGTTACTAGGCCAGAGAGCTCGTACACCCTTAATCCACCGGAACTCAATCTGGTAATCAGCCAACGAATTCTAACTTCTGCCAATTCACGACATAGTGCGACTACTTAGCAATGTCTTCTTCGACGAGTAACTGTCCTCACCTTTGACTTGATATACCCTACTTGTCACTGCTTCGTACTAGAACCGCAGGTAACTGCCTGAATGGGGTCAGTCGCTAGTGATCATCAGATCAGTTTACAAGCATTGGTATTGTAGGGATTGTGTTTGATTGATTGGAAGGTTTCATCATGAGCTGACATCAGTTACAGAACCGCCGAAAAACCCAGGATTACATATTTATAAAAACAAGGTACGTAAAACCTTAATTTCCTATGACTACTGCTAGTATCTATATTCCCATCAGGTAATCGATTTTCATATCTCCCTGATTTTTTTGCCCTTAACCATTGAATGATCTTAAAAGGCACATTAAATTGAAGATGAAAATCAACTTTAGTCCAAAAACAAATATAAAATGATTAGTGATCATCAGTCAGTATACACCATCCTTGCAATTAATTCTATTAGTCCATAAAAGTTTTGCATAATAAAATATTTTCGAACTCTCAAAAGGTACTTATATTTGTGTTGGTGTTTGCTTCAATCTCCTCATCACAATAGCTTCATCCACGTTAACATTTAACGGCAACGGTAATCTACGATGAAAGTTTGTTTCTGCTTCAAAATGGTGAGTGTTTTCATATTTTTTCAGTGGCATTTTTGTGGAGTCTAAGCATACAGTCATATGAATATATGAAAATACGTATTCCATAATCCATGGTCACATCATTCATGGCAATCATCTACACTAATACAAAGGTGATCAGATCCTTTCATTCCTCTGATATGACAAAATACATTTATTTCCAAATTCATTTTTCAGGCAAAAACGTATTTTAATGATTTACTACACATCAAGAACTAACAGACAGTCTTTTGAACCAATTAACAAATTCTGAAATCACTCATAAGATGGTAGTCTGTATACTGAAGTATTCTACTGGTGAGGCCATTCTCAGACGGAATGAAATGTCATATTTTGAAGTGTTAGCTTGGAGAAATTTGATTGTCTGAAGGTTTGTTCACTAGATGACATCGTTTAGAGGACCACCGAAAAACTAGAGAGTACTGGAAAGCTGTTTCATCCTACCTAGGGACTCTTCACTACTACGCACCCACTGGGATTCAAATACAGGAGCTTCTGGTTACATGGAGAGCTCGCAGGTCATTCAGCTACTATGACTTTATCCAATGATCCATGAATTTCAACTTGTGCCGATTCGCAGTGTGTAGTACAGCCTTTAGCAGACGTTTAAGGCGGGTAACTGCACTCTTATCTGACCTGTTGGACCTCGCTAGTTAGGGCTTCTCAACAGAATTAACGTCTGAAAATTAATCTGATGCTCAATGACAACTTCCTTTATACAGGACGCTGCCTAGAGTCCTTGTTAAGAAGTCGTAACCGGTGGGGTCTACCAAGTCAGGTAAGAGTTCATTTACTCACTTACGACGTCGGCTAAGGGTTATGCTACATATTGCGAGTTAACACAAGTTGAAATTCATGGATCATTGGATAATGTTACAGTAGCTGAACGATCTACGAGCTCTCCATGTAACCAAAAGCTCCTGGATTTGAACCCACATAGGTGAATGTTTGTGAAGACGCCTTAAGTAGAACGAAGCGTCTGCACAGCATTCTCTGATTTCTTAGTAGTCCTCTAACCAATGTCACATCCTTAGCAAATTTTGAATGTAATGCATTTCAATAATTCAAAAATTCAAAACATATTTACTTTATTTATCTGAAGCAAGGAGATCAGTCATTACTTATATGTTATGAAATTTCTATTCCAACTATATGATATATGATACATTTCACATGATACTTAACAATAAGAATTAAAAACCCACTAAGGGACATTTATTCAATGGTACAGTGTTTCCTTAAGCCCTTAAACCATCGACAAATTGCGAGAATAACGTCCGCCTAATCCCAATATATATATATAGAGGGAGAGAGAGAGAGTCATGACGCCAAGGGCATCACTGCATCAGTAAGAGGTCAGTCTCATACAACCATGTCAGTTTCAGTCATATTATTACTGCATATTATCGGAAAATTGATCTGATGCTTACCAGCGACTGACGCTAATCAGGCAGTTACCTGCGGCTCAAGTGGCGAGCAATGACAAGTAGGGTACAGCAGGTCAAAAGTGAGGACAGTTGCTCATCGAAGAAGACATAGCGAAGAGGTCGCTCTATGTCGTGAATTGGCAGAAGTTAGAACTAATGGGTTGGCCACTGGATAGAGTTCCAGTGGCTTAATGGTCTATGAGCTTTCTGGCCTTGTTATCAGAAGGTCGTAGGCTCTGAACCCTGTGGTGGGTGCGTAGTGAAGAAGAGTCCTAAACTAGGCTGAGGAAACAGCTGTCCAGTACTTTCTGTTGGTTTTCCTCTGGTTCTCTAACCGATGCTAGTTCAAAATGAAATCCTCCAATCAATCACACAAAATCCCTAAAAATCAATACCTGAAAATATTATTACTGTTATGTTCTCTTTCAAACTACAAAGGCTATTTATCACCAAAAGTTACATATTTTTGCCTTTTTCTAAATATGACATTTCTCTTTGTTTTTTCAAATACATAAACGTAGATAAATGACTTCAAGATGTTTATTTTCCTTCAGTCAATATTTTAGCTTTATTATAATTAATAGTCTTGAAATGATAAAGGGATAAGAGTTTTAGTGACATAAGTTACAAATATTTTTTAAGGAACTTTTTCAGTGTTAATGATTCATTTGAAAACTGCCAGGTTTTCAAATCTACTATATAATTAACTGCAGGCGGAGGTGAACTTGTGACCTAATGGAATGTGTGTTTTTATATGGAAAAAGGAAATGATTCATACGGATACCAGTTCTATAATTCTTACATGATTCATAAAAAAGCCTTATTCAGAATGAATGGTTTTTTTGTGGTGGAATAAAACTTCAACAGTTCCACTGAAGAAAAGAACAATACATGTAGTTCAGCGATTATGACAACTCATCACTATTGTTCCCATCCTTTCTCGTGAAAAAAAAACTGGGAATATAAGTTTGACTGTACAGCTAAAGTGAATTCTCTGAAAAGAGCCTCTTCTCTGAACTACTTGTTTTCTTCTTTCTATTAATGCTTGAATGGGAGAATATTCATGAATTACTTCATAAACAGTATTATATAACTAAAATAGAGGGATGTGAAGTTGCATAGAGGATTTCATCATGAGCTGACATTAGTTAGAGAGCCACTGGAAGACCTAGGAGTACTGGACAGCTGTTCCGTCGGCCTAGTTTGAGACTCTTCAGCGGTACGCACCCACCACAATAGTTCGAACCCAGGACCGTCTGGTTACAAGACGAGCTCGTAGACCATTTAGCCACTGGAACCCGATCCAGCCTGATGCTCACTAGTGACTGGCCCTATTCTGGCAGTTGACCTGGGGTTCTAGTGGGAAGCCGTGACCAGTAGGGTACAACAGGTTGAAGATGAGGCAGTAAATTATCAAAGAAGGCATTGGGAAATGGTCACGCTTGTCGTGAATTGGCAGAAGTAAGAATTCAAGGACCACTGGATAGGATCCCAGTGGCTCAATAGTCTACGAGCTCGCCTTATAACCAGAAGGTCCTGGATTCGAACTCTGGCGGTGGGTGCGTACTGCCGAAGAGTCCCAAACTAAGATGGGGGGAACACCTGTTCAGTATTCCCAGGTTTTCCAGTGGTTCTCCAATTGATTTCAGCTCATGATGAAATCCTCCATGCAATCAAACAAAAATCTCTATAAATCCAATACCTGATGTAAAGTTTTTTACACGTGTAATTGTATTATCTGCAAATATTCTTTTCCCGTTCCTTTCCTTTTCCCAGTGGAATATAAAACTTCTTTCTTTAAGGTTTTAATGGCGGTGATACTATTTTCACATCACTAGCCAGAGCCTATCCTGCAGCTAATTTGGTTCCCGTCTATAGGACAACATGCTCTTTGGTGCAGTCAAAAGTCGACACATACCCTTCTCATGTTAACTCCAACTGTGTATACAAATTTACGTGTATCTGCGGGAGCAGTTACATTGGGAGAACGAAAAGAAGAACAGCTCACCTCAGACTTTATAAACATGTACCTAAACGCCTACGTCTCAAGGTAATAGTGCTAGTACCTGACATCTCCTTAATACGGGTCATGAGGTGGAAATTGCGAAATCCTTTAAAATTATCAATAGACAAAGGAACTTGACTCCACTCATTTATGCCGCAGCCATTTCTATCAAAAGCTTGAAACCAGATTTATATGTTCAGAAAGAAGCACTTATCAGTCTTTCCTTACCGTGATAACTGGATGTCTTAATTCTCTCATTCATTTGATTATGTGATCTTTGGCTTTGACCTCACCCCCTCTTTAACATAGTGTAAATTTTGTTTGTCTCTTGTTTTTACGATTTGTTAACTAATATATTAGTCACTCAGCATCTTAGGCATCTCTCGTCTTTTTTATGTAACTCCTTTATCATTCTGTGTATACATTTACTTTGTTTAAACTTGAACTTTCTGTGTAAAAACTATATAAACGTAATTTACTCAGCAGTGTTCCCTAATTCTGGAACCTCCTGTCAACTGACGTCATGTAAGATTTTCAAGTTGTAGGCGGGTGATGAGAAGCCAACGAAACCACTGTTGTTCTTGCATTATTCAAATTCATTAAGGCCAATAAATATCTGAAGTCACAAGGATGAGTTGCTAGTCTGAAGCCCAACCTACCGCATTGTAAACTAGGTGAGGTCATAAGAATACGTTGGCTGGGAGTCGTATTTGGACTCCCTGCGTGGTTGATGAGCATCATACTATTAAACCACACATAGAGCTTAAAGAATACTTCTCTGACTGCAACACCGGGTGACGTATGTTTAAATCTAAGGTGTGAAATCAGTTCTCTTAGAGTTGTTGACGCGCCTTGTCCAGCAATATACAATGCATTAATATGAGTATTTAAAGCTGAAAAATATTAGAAATTCTTCATAACACTGATGTTCAATATCTAAAGCGTGTATAGATGGTTGCAAATCTGTTGACAGTGAAACAGTGAGATAAATGTGTCCTAACCACGACATAATCAAGTATTGTAAGGTTTATAAATCATGACAACTAGCAGATCAGTTGTCTCTAAAGGTGAGTAAACCACAAAGATAAACATTTGGCTTCATTTAGGCCACCAAGTGCCTCGCAGCAATCTTTCAATTCTTCAAATTTCATACCTTTATGTAAATGATAAATTCACTAGAATAATATGGCGGCATTTTCATAAAGAAAGATGCATGGTATTTGGTTACAGTAGACTATTTAAAACAGTCTGGTTTGATAGGTGGATATTTCTATTTAAGGATGATGTAACGAAATAGTTGTTTGGAGAATTCCTCCTTAACGATCTAGTCCCAATATCTATACTCATCTGCAGGCTTTAACTAACTTTCCAGTTATTGTCCGTTTATCTCTGTCACATTTGCATATCATATCTTGACTCCATTCTTATCATTTCTCATTGTCCCTGTCTAATCTAATTTTAATGTTTCTCTTCGCGGTTGTGAGAAACACTGATGAAGTGTTTTTTCTCGATATGATTTTATTTGAGTAAATCAGGGTCATTTTGTCCAATAGTGCTTGCTTGTTACTTTAAGATTTACTTAGTCTGGATAGCTGGCCAACAGGACTCTTGAGATAATTTACATTTTTCGATGTTATTACTTTTGATTAAAACTATATAGATTTATTGGTGAAGAGTTGTCTTCTTGCTGTCTTTGGTGCGTTTTTTGACTAGGATTGTCTCAAGGAAGTTTTTTACAGCCACACAGTAGGACTCAGAGATAGATACCCTGCGTTTGAACCACAGAGAGTTGATTTTGGTTACAACAGATGATGTAGTTGCCATAACAGGTACGTGCAAACTAGTTAGTGATATTCCATTCATTGACAAAGCATGCTAATCACAGCCCTTTGAATAAAATTTATCATTTTATGACAGTTTTTGCTACTTTATTCAAAAAAGTGTTTCTGACGTGTATCATGCTGATCAAAGGTATATTTTACCAATCTTCTACATCATTCAGAGAAGTTTACCTTCAATACATTATAATGTCTACTGTTGTAAATACGTTGCATGAATTGTAGAGGTATAGAAAGTTTATTGCTCAGTAAAAGAGTGTCAGTTATTTGTGTTTTTTAACGTAGGCTAATGTTAAATGAACTATTTAATAATGTTTGAGTTTTTACCGATATTACGGATAAAATTTTATTTTAATAAAATCACATAGTGTGTTGTACAGTAATATTTACTAATGACCACCTTCCGAGCAAAAATTATTGCGCATAATCATATCAGGGTACTCGCACAACTCTCCGACTTCATTTCTTTACGTCAGTAAAAATGGATGACTAGGTATTGGAATAAAATTAATATACGAAATAAATTACATTCGGAAAGAATATTAGTGTTATCAATAACATACAAAGGGAACAAATGTTTAAAACAGTGCCATCGACACGCATCTTTTCGACACAGGTCATGAGGTGGACGTCGAAAAGTTGTTCAAAATTATCAGTAGGCAAAAGAGCTCAATTCTCCTCAAGATCGCTGAAGCCATTTCCACCAAGCTCCTGAAACCTGATTTATGCGTCCAGAAAGAAGCGGTTATCAGTCTTTCTTTGCCCTGGTAACTGGATATTTTCATCTCTCTTTCATCCGAATGCGAAACGCTGAAACGTTTCCATTGTGTATGATTATTATTGTTCCGATATTATATATATATATATATATATATATATATATATATATTTTTACTGTATTCAAATACTGACCGATTGATTTTTGTTTAAAATGAACTCTGTGCAAGTATGTTAAAATTGTTTTTTTACATAAATATAATAATGTTTTCACCTTGTAAGCAGCTGACGAGAAGGTAACGAAATAAAAGATGGTACCATTTTATTCTGCTAAAACTGTAGTTCTTGCTTTGTTCAAAAACATACAATAAGATGGAAGTAGTGACATTATTAGAACATAAGAATTTAACTGAACTCGGAATGATTGATCCAGCCAGCATAAGTAATTTAGAAAAAACTCAGCAATTGCACTGAGTACATTAACACACAACAACACAGTAGGTTGGGTAGGGAAGAGTCAAAATTCTAAAAAGTAATATAGGCAGGTGGAAAGACAGAGAGAGAGAGAGATTGATTACTGATTCCTTGTTCATCTAGTCCATATCCGACACGGACAGTAGGAGTGACTCATCACTCATACCGGAAATATGAAAAATACTACTACCAATCAAGTCAAGCGATGGAAAATAATGGAATTATATAAACGAAGTTAGAAAGCTGTGTAAGTATCCTGATATGATTATGAGCAATGAATTGTGCTCTAAATGTGGTCATCAATAAATATTACAGTATTACAATGTCTAATTTCATCAAAATAAAATCTTATCCTTCAGGGAGTTATACTGTACCACAGCGCCCAAGGTTTATCCTTTTTTCCGGTATGTTTTATACATTGTATACTACAGGCCTATAATATAATGCATAATTAAGCTTGCTGCTTTCAACATAGGAGCATTTATTGGACATATATCATAAGTTGGCATATAATCCTAGTGAAAAATGTTGATAAATATTCGTGAAACCACTAACTCTGCCTTGATCACAAGCGTCACTGTCTCATACACATTGAAAAAAAGCAAAAAAATATTTCACCACAATGTTTTCATGTCATCAGTCTTACAAATAACGTCTAGGAGAAACTGACATCTCAATAGGCCAAAACATTTATCCGAATGGTAGATTTGAGAGAGGAGATGAAATCAATAAAATGTCATTTCTCAGGAAAATAAGTTATTTCATATGAAACATTTTTAAAAGAAAATGTTATCTTGACATTATAGTAAGCAGATGTCTGCTTGTGGAAAACTCTGACGTAAGACAGTTGTTTTTTTCTTTCTTTCTTAGTTGAATAAAATGCAAAATCTTCAGAAATATTTATTTCTTTCCAGCTCATTGACAATAAACTTATCTCATAGTCAACAACAAGGAGATGGTTGTGAATAAGATAAACCACGGGTGGACGCGCATCGATGAAGAATCCCAAACTAGGCTGACGAAACAACTGTCTGTTCAGTACTCACTTCAAGTTTTTCCAATGGTTCTCAAACTGATCTCAACTCATGATGAAATCCTGTAACCAATCAATCAAATCCCTACAAATCAATACTTAAAAAACTATTGTCAGCGACTTGCTATGACACTATAAATAAACTCTGCATCTATAATCTCGAAACAATGATTAATTTAACTAATTTACCTGTCTGCTATACTTCCTTGTCGAATGCTATCGATAAAGAAGGCATTTTGACCTGTTTTCACTTCATGACAAGGAGCCAGACTTATTCCCAAATCTTCATTAGCTGGTTTTTCAATTTCAACAACAACTGCACCTGATATACGCCGATCTTCTTCTACAAAATATAAAATTATATAGAATGATGTGAATTAATATACATTTAGGTAAATAAGATAGATATTTGATGAGCAGACTAACATGAAATTATCTCCACGAAATGTTTTAAAATTTTTGTCATTGTCTTTCCATGACCAATGTATTATTTTCTAGAGTTGTTTAAGCATTGAATGCTTCTTTTTTGAACGTTGTAATAATGAATCTCCTTGCCTGTAAAATGTTTCTCACAGCGTTTTAATTTCCCGCCTCATAACCAGTAAAAAATGTTTCTGAAAGTATGAAAATAACGACTGTGGTTCTATAAATCTAAATATATACTGGGTGATCTCTTTCAAAGACGATTTCTTAAGTTGGCCTGAGTCCACTGTTGTTCACCCTGATGTTTCTTCTTTCTGTTAAGATTGAGATTAATTTATAACTTTTTAACTGTTTGCAACATTTATGAATAGTAGGCCAGTTTCTAAAGTACATTTTGGATATATTCACTTCTTCTTCTTCTTGTCCCACTGGTCATAAAGAAAACAATGACAGTGAAACCTTCAAAGTGCGGTCAGTTTATTTCATGTGATAAATTAGTCAACGTATAGTATTTCTTTACAAGAATGTCATTCTTGTGGAGTTTGCAAATGGTTGTTGTTCACTAATGATGAAGTGACTCACTTATTGAGAAGCGTTGAGGATCAACATAAACAGAGTTAGGAGAACGAATACAATGCTTCGCCTGATTAGAATAAATATATATACAGGTGGTAATTCACTCATAATCTTGTCTTTTGAATAACATGCCGTACACATTCAGTTCTTTTAGAATTCTCCAAAAGTTTATCAGCTATTTTTCTTGCTAACCTTGGAGGTAGATCTTAAAACAAACAACAAAGGTTAATGAAGCAGGATTTAATGAATTCACCGAATTTTGGTAGAACTCGTCAACTGAATACTCTACATACACGGATATATATACTGTCGAAATTACATTGGGAGATATAAGACTGATAAGCAAATAAATTACATTGAATGAGTCATGCAGAAAGACAGGTGCGAAAGTTTTTCAGGTCATGTTCAAATAGATAAGTGGAGAGGGAGCATGAAGGATTAAAATTAAGATAAATGCATTACGCTTCAATTACATCACTTAGATGAACAATTAGTCATTCGAGAATATATCAAGAATTGCAAACAGATTAATACCAATAGTAATAGTTATAATAATAATGATGTTGAAATTAGTTAAGATAATGCTACTGATAAGGGATAGTTTTGAATGAATCAAGAATAATAATACTAGGAGGTAGAATAATAAGTAAAACGTATTATCCTGGTAGATTCAGAGTGACGACCATCTCTTTTTTTTACACAGAGATCTGGTTTATAAACTCGAATTTCACAAGCCTCTGCAATTGAAAGCATCTTCCTGTTTCTTTGTCTGCTGACATTAGTGAATGATTTGACAGCGTCGATATCATGTCCGTAGTCCACAATATGTTTTATTATTGAGGTTATTGGCACTTTGCATTCAGCTGTTTTCAACCATTTCGGCAAATGCTCCATCATGCGAGTAGACAATCGCCTTTCTGTACGACCTATATATTTGCTTCCACAAACACACTCAGATTGGACGTAGATAGTTGTTTCTGGATATTTTCTCATCCTGTAGTCCACTTCTATTGCTACGGATTATTTCGTCGACATGAAAGTTAACTTTTTTTTTATTTACAGCTTGATTCCACACTGTATTTTTGATACAAGTATGGAATTTTCAGCATGGAAATCGGTAGCCCAAATTTTGCAGGCCAACCATAGATATCAGGTGTGCGTTGGCAGGGGATCGAACCTCGGACCATGTGCATGTTCAGCAAGAGTCCTAACCACTGTGCCACAGACGACTTCCTTTTTATTGATTAATAAATCCTATCTGTGTCAATGCATCCGTTTATTGCAGATTCGTCTGAATACTAGGCTTAACAGAAATTTCGGTGTTTCCTTTGTCTACGTTTTGTATACTACCCCATTTGTATTGATGCCTGTGGTTATCTGCGTGTATTGGGATTATTATTATTATTCCCTTTGGTTCTAAGTGGAACATAGGGCTTTAACAACACATCTCCGCTTTCTTCTATTTTCTGCCATCCTTCTCGGTTGGGTCCACGACTGCCCATAATCTCTGTTCTCTTCCTTACACGATCTCCTCCATGTTACCCTAGAAAAACCCACTCGTTGTTTCCCAGTAAGATTCCACTCGAGTAATAGCCTGGTGTGCTATGTCATTCGACGGCCTCCTCACTGTATGCCCAATCCACCTCCATTTTCTCCTACATATTTTTTGAGCAATAGGATCTTGGTTGGTTCGTTTCACTGTAGAGTTTCTTGCTGCTAATTCTATCTGTCCATTTGTTCTTCAATATGGAGTCAGAAAAGGCATATGTTGATGAAATTCTGCAACAACCTGTTGGAAATCCTTTTCGTTACAGGTGCATACTGAGATAATGAAAGAACAAATATCATATCTTTTGACAGCCAGTTTATTTTCATAGATACAAAGACGAAGATGGCGTCCACTTTGATCTGTATAATGTATTTTCACACTAAAAGCTGAGCAGTTTTTTTTTACTTCACTATTCACTAACTGCTTATTTGATCCTTTTCTCACTCTGACAAGACAAACGTTGAATAATTAATTTCAAGCAACAAGGAGAATTAATAAATAATTTAGTTATTTTTAAATTTGTCAAATAACTACTAGTCAGTTCTTTTAACTATGATTTATATGCCCTGAATAATTTATGTTATTCTTGTAATTGTTTTTATACAACTAACTACATATCTACTGCGGTTTTTTTATTTAAATAACAACAGGCTACATCATGCTATAGTGTAATCATAAAATAATAATGAACAGATTTCAGATGCCTTAGAGTCAAACTAGACTTCCTTTTAGCGGATAATTAAACTACATACACGCTGGAAATTATTCGCTTCGTATAAGGATAATGTGTAATTAATTTTTTCCTGTTGACTTTCTTTCCTAATTCACTCATTATTCATATAAGGCCAATCAGTTGTTCTCTAAGAAATTAGATGAGGTGAAATTCCTTTTTCTCTATTGCAAATAGAATCTTACTAATATAAATAAAAAAACTATATATATATTTATGTAGATACAATGACCTTCGCTTCAAGATGTAGTTATTACCCATGGATTGAATTAATACTGCTTACCGTAAGATCTGAATAAATTACACGTTATCTTTTTAACGTTAATTGAAGGATTTGTCGGAAAGACAGATTCTGATAGGCGGAATCGGATTTTATTCTTTATATATATATATATATATATATATATATATATATATATATATATATATATATTCACTAGCTGAATTCCAATTACGACGATAATTAACTTGACTTATGTGAAAAGTGCTTTTCATCTCGTTTACCACCTAATTTAATGTTTTACTAGTATGTTAAGAAAGTTATTCAACTAACTTCGGATCGTATGGCTTCGAACACACAATTCTGAAGTTGTCACTCGCCGACTAGTCGGTGGTGACATAAATTTTATTGTAAGAAGAGTTTATTACTATTGCTGTTTCCTTTAATTCCTAGAGGAACATAGGCCTTCAGCCTCACGTTTCCACTGCATTCGGTTCTCTGCTAGATTTTTCACCTGGCTCCACGTCTGCCCGCACTAGCGACCAACTAGCCGCTTTCTATTTGCGTTCCACTCGAACGATGGCCTGGCGTATGATATCACTCACTTGATGGTTTGTTTTCTCAGAGTATGACCAAACCACCTCCATTTCCTTCTGCATATTTGTTGCACAGTCGGTTCCTTATGGGTTGGTCCGTTCATTGCCAGAGATCCATCCCTGCTGCTTATCTTTCTTAACCGGCCATCTGATCTTAAGTAGTATTGGGCAAAGACAGCTGTTGATGAAGGTCTGTAGTTTGCTTGAAGTGTCCCTCATGATGCAGCACCAAGTCTCTGATCTGTATAGTAGCGCTGACTTCTCATCGGAGTGGAAAATCTGGATGCTGAGGAGTTTTCTTGGTGTGCACGCAGACTTGAGAATGATGAAAGTCTGCCTTGTTTTCCCGATCCTCGCTTTGACATTCTCATCAGTTTGGTCCACGTGTGGTTGGACCGAGGCTTCCTGGGTAGGTAGGTAGTTAAAGGAAGTTGTTTCTTTCAGATTTCTCCCATTCATGCTGATTGTTGTTTGTTGTTGTGTTCGGGGTTGTTTCTGTTGGCCAGGAATCTTCATCACCTCTGTCTTCTCTATGTTTACCTGAAGTACTATCGTCTCTGGATGCTTCTTCTTCCAACTTGTTGCTGTTCATTTGCATATCCTCCAGTTTGTGGGAAATCAGACATATATCATCGGCGAAGTTCAGATCCTCAAATTTTTTGTGTGGTTCCATTTTATTCCTGTCTCCTCGTTGTCTGCTAACTGTTTGTTGCATTATCCAGTCTACCGCCCACAATCGGGAAAATCATTGGAGATAGTAGGCAGCCAACCAGCCTTGTCTTACTCCCGTCTTCACTTCGAAGGATTCTGTGAGTTTCCCGTTGTGGATTACTTGGCATTTAGCATTGCCGTACAACTGTTGGATAAGACGCATAATTGTTGGTGGCACGGCGTAGTAGCAAAGTAGTTTCCCAATCACCTCTCGATCGATGCTATCTGCTGAAGGCCTTTTCAAAGTCAATAAAGTTGAGATAGGGATCTGACTGCCATTCCACGCTCTTTACAATGATGATACGTAGTGCTGCGATTTGATCGATGAATGACTTGTTCCTCCTGAATTCAGCCTGTTCCGATCGAAGTTTTTCATCCACTACGTTTTTGATTCTCTTTATGATGATGTGGCTTAGTATTTTGCTTTGAATGGACAGAAGCATAATTCTACGCCATTTCTTGCATTGACCTAAGTCTCCTTTCTTTGGTAGTTTGAATAAGTCCTCAGAGTTTACTTCTTACCAAACTACATAGTGGAAACATTTTTTAACTTTCTCATCTTGTCTAAAATAAAAATGTAGACATTCGTTGGTAAAGAGTACGAAAAGGCGTGAGACTTGGACACAGTAACTGCTGTAGATTGCCTCCAAGCAACTAAAACTTATTCAAGTACACTTAAGTGACATATCAGCTAGTTTTGTGCTAATCGTATTGCAGACAGGACTGGGAGAATTCAGACAACATCAACAACACATGAAATTATTCACGTCTTCATGACCAATCTTTGTATCCGTTATGATCTTACAGGAGGCCAGTAATGAGTTTCGACTGGCATATAGGTAAAGTTCCATTATGGGTAAATTTTGTTTTGATAAAGTCTCACAGCGTTATACAGTAATGTTTACTGATGACGTTTCGAGCACAATTTATTGCTCATAATCATATCAAGGTAATCACACGACTTCCTAAATTCATTTATAAATGAATTATATAAATGAATTTAGGAAGTCGTGTGATTACCTTGATATGATTATGAGCAATAAATTGTGCTCGAAACGTCATCAGTAAACATTACTGTATAACGCTGTGAGACTTTATCAAAACAAAATTTACCCATAATGGAATTACACTCTACCACAGTGCACAAGTTTTATTCTTATATCAATATAGGTAAAGTCTCTGACTGCTTCACTAAGTTAAGTGAGTTCCAGTTTCAGAGGAAGCATCATTTTCTTTTTCAAAGTTGTAAATGAACTAATAACCATGAAATCTAAGTTCAAGGCGTCTTACCAATTGCCTCCAAGCTCCTAAACTGAAGTTTCTCTCGAACAACTTCAACAAAGGAAGACGTTTCAACTGTAATGAGAGAATTGAAATGTTCACATGTCTCATTTATTGAGCCATATAAAACTGATGTATCTGCTTAGGACGGCGAAAAACTACTAGACATAACTAGTTTACTTTACTAAATATGTTTATCCAATAACTAGTATTGAAATAAAAGGACTGTAATTCACAATGAGAAGCTGCATTTTATGCACATTATATATAACACATGATTCTACTCTAAACTAATGAGGCTAAAATGTTTATTCAGTAAAAATAAGCAGCTTCAGACTAACTTTCATTAATTTAAGTGTTGGTTTGTAGAGATTTGATTGGTTTCAGAATTGGATCGGGTCCCAGTGGCTTAATGGTATACTAGCTCGCCTTGTAACCGGAAGGTCCTGGGTTCGAATCCCGGTGGGTGCGTACAACTGAAGAGTCCCAAACTAGGACGAAACAGCTGTCCAGTACTCCCAGGTTTTCCAATGGTGCTCCAACTGATGTCAGCTCATGATGAAATTTTGTAACTTTCATTAAATTAGATTGACTGTCTTAAATTGCGCGATTCATTGACGAAGCTTAACGCATGGTTTCAAGTGTTTAACAATAAATTCACTCATTTCATGCTTCATTCAGAATTGATACTGTTCTCTTAGCTAACATCATCCTATATACATATATATATGTATATATATATATATTCACTGACATTTATATTACACAACCATATGCTTTTATATAGGAGAAAGAAATGTTAAAGTACATAAGTAAAGTTTAAATATTTCCCAATGGTATTTCCTTTTTCTTTACAGTTTTTAAATACACTTTGAACCGTTAACTAAAACGGAATCAATTACTGTTGTAAGTTTACATATATATTCGAATTTATTAATAGAAAAGTTAAGTATAACTAAGTACAATAATCATAAAAGGCAAGAATTAATTACACCAAGGCAAGGGAAGTTATTTAACGCTTCTTCTTCAACGTCTAGTGACCTTAATAATAATGCCAGTATAATAATTATTGACTCCTTATAAATGTATTCCAAACAACACGGTTAATACATTCATTTAACCATGGATAGATACATAGAATTCCTTCTAATGTTTAGGGAGAAAGTTTTGAGAAAAAAATATTTTTATAAATACCAAAATGAATTATTATTATTATGATTACTATTAATATCATCGTTAATTGTTTTATTGTTGAAGAACGTGTAGCTGCCAAATTTATAAAGTTATTTGCAGTAAAAATGCCACTTTATACAAAAAAAACCAAAATGAAACAGGTATCTAGTACTCCCTGGTCTTCCACAGGTTCCCTAACTGATACCAGCTCGTGATCAAATCGGTAATCAATCAATTCCCTGCAAACTAACACTTGATAATTAGTCCCATCAAAATCCCCATTAAGTCATATGAAAAAGAGAAGACGTTCAGCGAAGAAACTCTTTTCGACGAATTCATTCACATAGCGGTACAATCACATTTATATATAATTATTTGTTTATGCGTGTGTACATGAGGTTTGTCAAGTTTAGATAGTTGATCAGGTAATACAAGAATGATCTAATATAGAAACAAGGTTAATTAGACAGCAACTAAAGTAAGATTGAGTTAGTAAGTTGAATGACGTAATATAATTGACTAAAATATTTCAGCTTAGGTCAGGGCAGCAACAGAGGTAATTACAGGTAGAGACTAAGTTGAAGTGGGGTAGAGAATAATTCCATTTAAATTAGAACTGAAACTGAGCGAACAAGTTGGATGACGTAACATAAGGGACTAAAAATTGAGCGTTGGTCAAGTCAAGAACAGTGGTAGTGAGGTGTAGAAATTAAATCAGGTGGGGGTAGAGAACAAGAAGGTTGAAAATGTAAAATATTTCAATTGAGAAGACAAAATAATACTAATGAAGACTCAGACAAAAAAAGATTAGGTAGAATTTACTTGTCAGGTAATAAGATAGATTACGTCCGTTGCAAGTGTAGTGATTGAACAAGCTTCTTCTGTATGCAGAGTTCAGGGCTAAGCAAGTGAATCGCCATTGCTTCTGCAGTTTGAAGAAGTCTGATTTGTACACCTTTAGGAAGACTAGTTCTTACTCTGTAGACGACTTTGAAGTTAGTTTGGGGTGTAACTTGGTGTCCGGAATCTATCAGATGTTCTAAGATGGGGCTGCGGGGGTATCGTTTTTCTCCTTTGTAAAATCATGTTGATAAGTGTTCGGTGATACATTTGGAAAGCGAACGCTGGGTACGGCCGACATACCTGGCTCCATACGAGCCAGTGAATTGATAAATACACATTGATGAGGCCAGCAGTGGTAGCTTATTCTTCACGTTCACACGAATCATAGGTTTTGTGGAGAAGGTTAGTCTTAGTTCAGCTGCGAAGAACGTCTTCTTAAGTGATTGCGACAGTCAATTTTTCAGTGTTTCCGCAGATATATCTCCATTGAATTGATGGTTCAGGTAGAGTATTTTTTTTCAAGACGCTAAACATGGGCGGCTTTTGTGGTCTAGGATTCATAGATTTTGCAATAAATTTTTCTGGATAACAATTCTCGACGAAGATTCTCTTGAAATTTTCCAGTTCATCTTCTATGCTGTCCAGGGTGCAAATTCCGCGAACTCTGAAGCTGAATGAAGGGATCAGGTTTCGTTTGGTGTATAAGGGTACCCAACTCTGAAAGTTAGTAAGCTGTCCGTTCCACGTCGACTTTCTGTGTGTAGATCTTTTCAGTGTCCCATCCTCTTCTCGTCTTGTTAGTTGGACGTCAAGAAAGGATATCTTGAAGTCAGACTCTTTCTCCAGAGTGAACTGAATCGCGAGGTGGCAGTTGTTAAACCACTTCAAGGTGTCGTCTGTATTTCCTTCACTGTTGACGATAATGAAAGTGTCTTCGACGTATCTCTTATAGTCTCATGATCACTAGCGACTAGCCCTGTAAAGGGCATCACTCGGAGGTGAGAGAACAGTTGCTAACCAATAACATTAGCTGGCGGTTGCGCTATATGTATCGCTAAGTGGCAGGAATCGGGACTTATGGTCCATCAGATCTGGCCTAAGTGACTGATTAGACTATGAGCTAGCCATGTGACCGATATGTCCTGAGTTCGAACCCCCACTGGGTGCATCCTGTTGAAGATTTGCGAAATAGGACGAAATAGACTTCAATGGTTCTCTAACTGACAATCAGCTCATGTTCAAGCCTGCAATTAGTCAAATTCCTGTAAATTTATTCTCAATAAAAACATCCTTTGAGAAATGCAATATCATGCAATAATATTCAGTGTTCTATTGAGTGGTTTCTCAGTAAGATTCTAATACTAATCAATCAGTAGCGTATTCGGTGAAAATCAAATATGGAGCTATGAATTAGGTTTCAGGTGATCCTAATGGTGTCACATTAGTTACGTAAAGATAAACAGATAGGAACAGAAGTTCAGCTAACAAGGATCTGTTGTTCAATCAGGAAAATTGAAATTCACTCCCTAAAACTTGATTTATTTCACAGTTAGTAATTACGAGTGGGTTTGGTAAGAACTGTTTATCTAAGAACGAAAGTAGATTTGGAAATTGTATGTCGTTCAGTCATAATATGCAATACTTCAAACACTTTTATCAACTGGAACAGCACCGCCTTCAGTCAAACCTCCTTCTTCATTTTTCAGCTTATTGGATCAAACTTTTTTCAAAACAAATTCATTTATTTCTACCAAAGAAATCAAATAAATTGGATAAGATACATTTTAACAGAAGTAATAAAATAACTCACCGAAATTGGCTACATTATATTCAATAGTAAGAGTTAAATGATTTCTAACACTCTGGATTAATTTCACTGCCTCTTCACAAGTCAGCTGTCCTGTATGAATACTGTTGATAGTGAGTATACGATCTCCGGGTTTAATTCGTCCATCACTTCAAATAATTAATTTGTTAAAAAAAAGACAAAAAAAGGTGAGTTACAAAATAGAAAGTTTCACGTTAGTTTATCTGAACCATCTAGTTCTGAAATGAGATATATTAGAATTTCATGTAACATAGTTCAATGAAATCAATGTTAGCCTGACGGTTATACAGGTTTCTAAATGGTAGTCTACAAGTGGATAGTTCACTGATAAGGTATTTGATAACAGTACCAATTTATTTTAAGCTGTAAACAAACAGAATACCTGATATTGGTGTTTTTCAGGGGCTTATTTTTAAAACAAAAGCCGTGACCAGTAGGGTACAGCAGGTTGAAGATGAGGCAGTAACTCATCGAAGAAGACATTGCGAAGTGGTCGCGCTATGTCGTGAATCGGCAGAAACTAGAATTCAAGGACCATTGGATCGGGTCCCAGTGGCTCAATGGTCTACGAGCTCGCCTTGTAACCGGAAGGTCCTGGGTTCGAATCCCGGTGGGTGCGTACTGCTGAAGAGTCACATACTAGGACGAAACAGCTGTCCAGTACTCCCAGGTTTTCCAATGGTGCTCTAACTGATGTCAGCTCATGATTAAATCCTCCATGCAAACAAACAAAATCCCTACAAAACCAATACTTGAAAATACATAAATGTCTTGATAATACATGTATTAAAATTATTGCCTTCGGTTCCGAAGTGGAGCATAAGGCTTCAACATTACATCTCCACTTTCTTCCATTCTCTGCTGTTCCTTTCACCTGGGCCCAAGATTGCCCAAACTCTCTCATCTCCTCCTAGCACGATCTCCTGCGTATTACCTTATGATGACCCATTCGCCGCTTTCTATTGGGATTCCACTCGAGTGATGGCTTACATTGCGCACCATGTCATTCGACGGTCTCCCTAGCGTGTGCCTGATCCATCTCCATTTTCTAATAGATATTTGTTGAGCAGTCGGCTCTCGGTTCGTTGTTTCGTCAGAGTTTCTTCGTGCCAGCCATTTGATCTTCAGTATGGAGCTAGCGAAGGCAGCTGTTGACAAAAGTCTGCAACAGGCTGACACGCAGTGAAGGTTTCTGAACCCTATAGAAGAACTGACTGATTTCACATTTGATAATGAATGAGCTTTTGTCAGTTGATCATTCATATTTACTGAATTTGAACACATCAATTAATGATGTGTTCAAATGTATCCTTCAATATTCTACCGACATTTGTTGAAATACAACACTTTCTGTACCTTTTCTAATTACATTTATCTCTAAAAGAAACTGGTATCGGTTAGATTGGACATATTAATCAAGCATCAAAACTGTAGTTTCACCCTGTTTTATCTAAAAATGCGCCTATATATTCTATGTCATCTAAAACTTCAGTAAATTCACTTTCACTCTGTGTCACTACTTCCACTTCATATGATTTCAGTGCAGCAAAAGTGATCAAAACTACGTTATACGGCGAATTTTCGTACTTAGTCGTTGGCTTTATAACTATAAACATTCTAGAAATAAATATTTCAGCTTATATAGGAAAAAACAACCTACATACCTTAATGTTAGTGAAAATAAATACCCCAGACGAAATCCAGTTGATGATTTTACGGTAGTATATTTCTCGAATCCGTAATTTCTTTCATGCCAATATTTAACTTTTTATCCTCATTCTTATACATTCTGAGTGGAATATAGGGCATCAAGCCTCAGCTTTAAAGTTTTACTAGAGTTTGGTTACAGGATCTCATCATGAGCTGACATTAGTTAGAGAACCATTAGAAAAACTGGGAGTACTGAACACTTGTTTCTTCGTAGTTTGGGACTCTTCATCGCCACGCACCCACCGGGGTTCGAACCAAGGACCAATCAGTCAAATTCCTACAAACCAATACTTGAATTTGACTAGAGGTGTTTTCACCGAGTGGGATTGCTAACCCCACGCCAAACATCCTGACGTCACCGGGCGACGTTTAGGATTGAGTCCGTTGGAAATCGGATCCGGACCTTTCCTGTGGCTGACGAATATTCTAACCCTGAACCACCTACTCACTGGATATCTAACTAGTTGAAAACTATTATTCAGATATGTTGACTATTGTTAGTATTATAAACTATAACTATAACTGCGAATTTCGTCTTTCTTTATCGAGATTTATCGAAGGGACCAAATGTATAAACTATAATTTTATTTAGCCTGATTTATACAAAGTTTGGATGTCTTTATACTATATTATATATCATTACATATATACTGAAATTTCTGGTTAAATTCATTATGGCTGCAACTATTATCGTAAGGATATGAATTTCCTTACCATGTTTCTTAGCAATATTCACATCATAATAACTTCAGTGAAGTTATTTATACTCTCTGAAAATACTTGTCATTTCGATATTAACATTATCCAACGGATCAGTAGCCTTCATCACTCCCTCCGCTAACTTATGATAAGGTGAAATTGTTCTATTCACTATATATTCTAAAACAGTTTAACCTTCAACGAAACTGAATTACGTCAAAAAAATAAGACAATAAAATTTCCAAACTTGCCACTTTCATGCATACATTTACAATAGGTAATAAGTAAATTATAATTTTTAATCAGCTAAAATTATGCCCTATTATATTTTTCTCCTTGTAGATGTATGCATTAGAAACAAGGTAACTAAATAAATATTTTTGATGAACTAACTGATGGCTTTAAGTGTATTAGAATGATATTCACAACATGTAGAGAGCATCCATATGGAACTTTTAAAGACGCAGAATATTCACTGAATAGTCACAGATAGATTATTATTCCTTTGGGTCCCCAATGGAATCTAAGGATTCAGCAGTACATCTCCGTTTCGTCCTGTTCTCAACAGTCGTCTTAAGCTCGCTGCAGGTTTGTCAATAGGCTATCATCTCTCTCTCTCTCACATGATCTCCTCCATGTCACTCTCAGAAACACATCTTACTCGTCTTTTCCCACTCGGGTTTCACTCGAACGTTGGTTTAGGGGCGCAAAGTCACTCATCGTGTGTCCCGTCTATCTCCATTTCCTCCTGCCAATATTTTGGGTAGTAGTTTCTTGGTTGACCAGTTCCCAGAGCTCCCTATTACCAATTATTTCTCAGCGGCTATCTAATCTGTAGTATGCAGCTAGAGAAGGCGGCTGTTGATGAAAGTTTGAAGCCTGTTAGAAGTGTTCTCCATGACATCCCAAGTATCCGAAACACATAGAAGAACTAAATTAACATTAGTATTAAAAATTCGAATCTTTTTCTTTATAATGACTAAAGAAGAAAACTGATCTTAGAGTGGTTAATGCCGGCCTTGCCTTTTCTATTCTGATTTTGACATCCTTATCCGTGCCTCCTGTAGTTGAGACTATTTTACCCAAATAAGCGGAGGAAGTGACCTTCAAACTTCTGTAAATGATATTGATTAATGTTCGCTGTTTTAGGCTAAGCATTTTCATCACCTTTGTCTTCTCTATGCTTATTTGAAATCCTGTCTTCTCTGTCAGTCTCTTCTGGCAGCTTATTGGTTTTTGCTTGTTTGTTTGACATTAGACATGAAGGAAGCTGCATCATACAGATAGGAAGTTCTACGATTAAATTGCCTATGAATCACTTGATACCATTCAGTTAAGTATTAACTAAAGATATTTCTCAAGAATAATTAGTAATCTTTTTAACACTTTGGGATCATCTGAATTCATCAGCGAACAGTTTCTGAAAACTGTCGACTACTATTAAAATAACCATCCACCAAAAGACATTTGTCTGAAGTGCCTTTGTATAACCACCATGCAATGCTAACGTCAGTGAGCATATGAAACTTAGAGTGTTCTTCAACATCTTATCTCCTCTTCTGATAACCATATTGCGTGTTACAGGATTTCATCATGAGCTGACATTGGTTAGAGAACCACTGGAAAACCTAGGAATACTAGACATATGCTTCGTCCTAGTTTGGGACTCCGGTGGGTGCGTAGTATGAAAAGTCTCAAGGCAGGACGAAACACCCATAGAGTACTCCCAGGCTTTCCAGTGGTTCTCTAACTAATGTCAGCTCATGATGAGATCCTGTGACCAATTATTCAAATCCCAACAAACCAATACTTGCATATTGTTTGTGCTTTCTAACCTTAAACTATTAAATAAACGTTCCAATAGATTTCTTTGTGTGTGCCTAGAGAGAGATTTCGTCTGAACAAGAAGTTGATCGGATTTTTGCATAGTCGTATCTGGTGGAGTTGTTTTTCATGATATGAAGAAAAATCCATTGCTTAAAGGCAAATATATATCACCCTCTTTTCTGTAACCAGTGTCAAATACTCTATGAATTTACTGCTACTAATTATGAGTCATCATAAATTAGAAGATGACAGGCTTTATATTTTTTTTAAGTTTATAGAATGAAGGTTATTGGAATATATGATTCATCTGTGTATGAATTCCACTTATAGGAAAAACAATTCATTAATCCTGTCAAAACAGCTGACATGTAAACAATGCTGAACAGACTATCAATCCACAATCAAGGTTCAAAACTATGTGCACACATTCAAATCAATTCACTATAAAACTGTGGATAAAAAAGAGATTGAAAGAAATAAGTGATATAGTAAGCAAAATTAAGAAATTTACAGAATCAAAGAATAAGCGATTTTCTACATGATAACCTATAATTAAGAAGTGTTTAGACGGTAAACCTATAAAATTATATTCCCTACTTAAATGTGTATTGTTTATCAAGTGTTGGCGTGTAAGACCTTGTTTTATTTCATGATAGGTTTCGTCACCATAGCGTCGGTGGCACAGTGGTTAGGACTCTCGCCGAACATGCACATGGTCCGGGGTTCGAGCCCACGCCGACGCACACTTGATATCTATGGTCGGCCTGCGAATGTTGGGCTACCGATATCCACGTTGAAAATTCCATACTTGTACCAAAAATACGGTGTGGAATCAAGCTGTAATCAAAAATAAATGAAATAAATAAAAATAGATTTTATATCCGTCAAAATACCCAGTTTTTAATTATCTAATTGCCACAAGGAGACATAAACTGTGCTCGTGCACAATTTTAAATAGGTTTATAACTATCTTTAGGAATTCTACGAGGGAAATCGAGGAAGGACATCGTGGAGTAGTACTGGAGTAAGCTGCGAGTGAAAAAAATATATGGAAAACCAGGGAGTATCGAACAGCTGTTTCACTCGAGTTTGAGAACCATTGGCAGTATGCGTCCACTAGGGTTCGAGCCTAGGACCTCCAGGTTACATGGTAAGCCCGTTTACCATTCAGCTACTGGGACTCGATTTAATGGCGTATGAATTCTAACTCCTACCAATCAATGGGCAAACTCGGAAAACAAATGAAATCAGTACAAACAGACACTTGAAAATTAATCTGATGCTCAATAATGACTTGCAACAGGACGGCGCTTCCTGGAGTTCTAATGAGAAGTCATGACCAGTGAGGTCCAACTAGTCAAGGGTGAGGATGAATTTCCAACCGATGACATGGTTTGGTTGTCGCGTTAAATCACGAATTGGTAGAAGTTAGAATTCATGGGTCGACCATTAAATCGGGTCCCAGTGGCTGAATGATCTATGAGCTTGCCTTGTAACCGGAAGGTCCTGGGCTCAAACCCCAGGGGGAGGACTGCCGATGATACTTAAACTAGGATGAAACAGCTGCCCAGCACTTTCTGGTTTCTAGTGGTTCTCTAACTGATATCGATCCGTGGTCAAGCTCAAAAAAATGTAATCTTTGCTTCGGATGATATATCATCTATTATTTATATACATATACATGCTGGGAGTCTCTGTACTGTATCAACATATTGTCTGAAATAAAGCTTTATAAGTATTACCATAATCCCTGAGGGTCTTCATACATTTCTGAATAAATTATGGAGGATAGTTCTTCACTATTATTGTTTTACTTATTTATTTGATCTTATTATTTAAATCTTCTTACTTACTTGTTAGGCTCTTAGTTCAATTGCATAAACATATAACTAAATCTACCTTTGCTGAATTTCGCCAGAAAGAATCAAATTTTAAGTACTTATTTAAATTTGATGGTTATCGATAGATTTTAACATCTAAAACATCATTATGTTTCTGTTTTATTTTATTGTCTCTGGAAAAGGTAACTTATCCTGTTCATATTTTAACTCGAAAGTGAAC